TTTTTGAACTACAGTACGGCCGTATTGAATTTGGTACGGCCGTACTGAAGTTCAAAAACTTCAGTACGGCCGTATTGAGTTCACTACGGCCGTATTGCAGTTCAAATGGCTCAGTACGGCCGTACTGAACCTCTGGGAGGGCGTATTGAGCTCCAATCCTCGCACACCCTTATTCTAAGCTACTCTAAGACTCCTAGACTTACAAAGAATCATCCTAGGGTCTTCCAGGAGTCCTTCCGGTTGACTTTCCTTCGGTCTTCGAGAGTCTTTGAGTCTTATTTCCGACCCTGACAATTTTAGGGGTCTACAAGGTTGAAGTTCCTAAGAAAAAACTTCGTTCGGATTCTCAAAGTGGGCAATCTGTAAGTTATCTTTCTGAGCGCACTCGAAATTTCCATTCGAATGTCATACTGACCCTTTCACTTTTTACATTTTTCAGGTTTCCACTACTCGAAGATCCTCTCGAGACAAAGGGAAACAAAAGGCAATTTCGACTAGGTCTATCCCTAGACCTAAAATTCCCACTGAGAAGCTTATGAAGGATGCAATGAAATCCCCTGTCCAGGTAATGCGCTAATTTTCTGGACCTTCCTTACTTTTCTTTTTGACTTGATTTTATCCTCTGTAATGTTTTTCCCTTTCTTTTCAGAAAAAGGTGAATTCAGAGGCATCCGAATCTTCCTCTGAGAGCCCTCGAAGTGCCCCCACTTCTCCTACTGCTGCTCCATCTTCTCGAGATGTTATCGAGATTCGCGAATCAGCGTCTCCTCCTGGACATCATGAGGTATGTTCTGTTGACTCTCGATTTCGCTTTTCTGGCCTTTCTCGAATTCGTGTACTGTTACAATGTTATTCATAATAGGTGGTTTCTTCCAATGTTCTTACGACTACTATTCCTGTCACCACGCCAACCATTGAACCTTCCCCTCCTGGTCCTGTGCAAGGTGATGCACCTTCCTTTAATTTTGACACAGGGGTGTCCTCTGGACAAGGTAGGTGATTCTCGGATGTTCTGGTATTCCACCAAAAAATATTTTCTCACTAACATATCCTTTTCGTGCAGGTCTAGAGGTAACCTTTGAGGACCAACAAATTCCTCCTTCTGGTCAACCTGCGAGTTCGACTGACGCTACCCCTTCCGATACTCTGTTAGCTTCCATACCTCCTGGCGACATAGACCTCATAAGCTTCTTTGATGACGAAGCTGCTCAAGATGACATTTTCGAGGTCTTGTAGAATTGGACTAGTGGGACTTCGGCTTTGGGGAAGAGCCAAGAAACCGTGGTGAGGTTCCAGCCTTTATTGTCCTCCTTTCGTTCGAAGGCTTACGTGGATCATCTTGACCAAGCTCTCATGGACCCTCAGTTCAAACTGGAGATCGAGCGGATGGTTGATGATCTCAATTCGTATCTGAATCTTCCTCTGGAGGTAACCGCCGAGCTGAATGAATATGTGCATACCTTTGCTGCGGCCTCCGAATTGCACATGAAGTGGTCTACTTTGAATCAGGAGATGGTCCAACTCGAGGCTGATACGGAAGAGGATCGAACCAAATTGGAAAAGCTCAAGACTGAACTTCTTTTGATCAAGGAATCCACTTCTCGGATAGTTCCCGAACTGATGAAGCTCAAGCAATCTGAGGAAGATACGGAGCGTACCCTAGCTGCCCTGCAACGAGAACTTGACTCGATCAAGTCCAAACATGCTGCTTTGAAGCTTCAAAGCCAAGAGATCATGATGAAGCAGAAAGGTTTGCGGGATGAAGGGAAAGGCATCTCTCTTCGACTTTCAAAGTCATTGGATCAAAAGAGAAGATTGGAGGCATTATGTGCTTCGCGGAAGCAAAGTCTCGATCAAGCCTACCAGGCATATGAAGCACTCAAATCCAAATTCTGCAAGTGATCGAGAACCTCCGAGATGCCTATTTATAATTTAATATTTATCCGCTTGTACCTTTATTGCTTATCTCTTTGAACACTCATCTCAGTACATGCTACTTTCATGAAATTTCTTCAAGTACTTTCCGTTCATCACTTTACTTTCATTTCTCGAATTTAACTCTTTGATCAAGTATGCATTGTTCGAGTAGATTCTTTCGATAATGAATGGTCCTTCCCAATTATAGGTCCATTTACCCCGATTTTGAGATTTCTGATCCATTGGTAGGATAACTTTTAGGACTAAGTCCCCACTCGAAAATTGTTTGCTCTTGACCTTTTTGTTATAAACTCGAGCTATTTTTTCTTTCTGGTGAATGACATTTTGCATGGCTGTCATTCTTTCGTCATCCAGTCGCATTAGTTCATCATACATTAAATTCCAGTAATCCTTGACTGGCAACTCGTTTTGCCTTTGCACTTGAACAGATTGTAAATTGATATCAATAGGCAAAACTGCTTCGTGACCATAAACCAACTTGTATGGCGTAGTTTGAGTGGCATTCCTGGGTGAATTTCTGTAAGCCCACAATACTTGCAGTAATGTTTAATGCCAATTTCGAGGTTTCCCCGAAATATGTTTTTTGATCAAAGCTATGATCACTTTGTTAGCAGTCTCGACTTGGCCGTTAGCTTGTGCATAGTAGGGTGTCGAAGTAATCATTTTGATTCCTCTCGACTGGGCATACTGGACCACTTTTCGACCTGTGAACACCGTTCCTTCATCGGTAGTTATTGTCTGGGGTATTCCAAATCGAAATATAATATGGTCTTCAATAAAATTTATCACTTCTTTCTGGTCAACCTCTTTTACAGGAATGGCTTCCACCCATTTCGTAAAATAATCGATGGCCACGATTATGTACTTGTGGTTTTTTGCTGACGGAGGATGGATCTGGCCAATTATGTCAATTGCCCAACCTCGAAAAGGCCACGGTTTAACAATCGTATGCAACTCGGTTGCTGGTACTCTATGTATTGGGCCATGTTTCTGGCACTCTTCATAACCCTTTGAAAACTCGATACAATCTTTGAATATGCTTGGCCAAAAATATCCTTTTCTGGACAAACTCCATTTCATTTTCTCCCCCGCTTGATGAGCACCACAAA